ATCACTAGGGTTCTTGAAGATGAAGATTGGCTAAGTTTCTTTGTGGAATCCTAGAGAGATGAAGATGGAGGATGAGTCTTGAGCTTCAAATTGGCTAAGTTCTTTTGTTTCCTATCCTCTTCTCTTTTTACTAGATGGTTAGATTCCTTAATCTAGGGTTTAATCATCTTAGCTTATAAATTCTAATTTGAATTTGATGTTGATGTAAAGAGAGAGGATTGTTTCATTTAATTTCTTCCTTGGACAGCCATGACTGAATTTTGCCACTCTTTGTTTGGCACATAATCTTGTGTTTTTCAATTAGTGAATTTCTTGTGTTAATATTGCATAATCTTGTGGTGTTAATGCTTGTGTTGTTGAGTAGCTTGACATAATCTTGTGGTTGCTCAATTTATGTGTTTGACCATGGCTGTTGAGAGAGGATTTTGAGTGAATCACTTGGCTAATGTCTTCACCAATTGGTTAATTAACTAGGGACTTTAATCTAAGACCTAGGGAGGTTAGCTAATTAGGTTAATTGGCTTAGGATAATTTTCTTAAGTCATGACAGCTTTAGTCAAGAGGAAAGGGAAGCTAAACTTAGCCTAATCATGAGAAGATAATGAGTCCAAAATCAACTAATCTCTAGGGTTCCATTATTGTAAAAAGGGAAGTTCATTTCACTCACTTTCACTAGCATTTTAATTACTTGCATATTAGGTAATTAGTTTAGATAATTAGCTAGATAACTAAATTCCTACAAACTTTGGTTGATTTATTTCACTAGATAACTTTCAATTAGACTTAAAACCATTCCTTGGGAGATGACCTAGGGTTGGCCCTATATTGCATTAGGGTTAGCTTTAGTATAATTTTGAGGATAAGCGACTAATTTCCTATCAACAGTCTCACGATTCTCAGCAACTATTACATGTTATTATGTGAATGAGATGGGTCTTATGCATGATTTCACATGTTTGAAGCTAAAATTTTTAGAAATTGTAGTACCAGCTTTAATTTACTTTATTTAAGATTTCTGATACAAAAATAAAATTCTCTTTAATAGTTACCTTTTTAACAAAAGGATCAATATATACATTCATCTATGTATGGGTAAGGCTTTTGTACTTTTCCTTATATACTTAATATTCTTTTATCTAATCAAATCAAGATATGTGAATCTTAATGTATTAATAATATTAATAACAAGAATTTATTATAGAATAAATAATTTATAAAAGATCCACATTTCTTGATTTGATTAGAAACAAGTACCTTAATTATATAAGGCTAAATATATGAGTTTTTTTTTCCTATATAAATAGCGGCAGAACCATGTTTGATTGGGATAGGCAAACGCATCCCCTCACTTCAAGAAAAATAACAAGTATGATATGTAAATTTTGTAACTTTACACCCCCTACTTTTGATATTTTGCACCCTTTGAACTAAATAAATAATATATGGGTTCAAAAACTAATTAAATATATACTATTTAAATGATTAGTATAAAATATGAAAAACATATTTACATATAAGACCATACTAACATGTTCAATATAACTTTTTAAAAAGAAAATTGATAATCAATTTACTTATGTTATCTTATGTACCACTAGCCGCCCCTTATAGTATAGTCAACCCTTCAAAAGGTTATACCCCTCCACACTCCCTTGCTTGGTGATGAGTTGTTGCAGCACCACATTTGGTTTGTGATCAACTTGCACTTCGTTCTCCCATTCTTCAATCTCATCATATTGCCATAAAGAAAATCCATGCATTTCAAGAGTTTCCTCTTTTTTTGAGAGAGCATCTCTACTCTATTTTGCTTGCCTAGCTTGTAGATAATTTCAAACTTGAATCCCATTAATTTAGAGATCCAATATTGCTAAATTTCTTCAACAATTCTCTACTTTAGCAAGTATTTCAAGGCTTTTTGTTATGTTCATATGACAACTCTTTGCCCTCATAGGTAATGCCGCCAATTCTTTACTTCCATAATGATTGCCATAGAGTTCTCTCATAAATAGATCATTGTTAGGCCCTATTAGAGAGTCATTTGTTGAAATAAGCTACTAGTCAACCATTTTGCATCAACACTGCTCCCATTCCAGACCCTGAAGCATCAATTTCTAATTCAAACGGATGAAAAAAATCGAGCATAGCTAGCACCAGAAGGGAAGTCATGGCAACCTTAAGTAAATTAGTGAGAGGGCTAGCTATCTTGTTGTAGTTCTTAACAAACCTTTTGTAGTATCCCATTAACCCCAGGAAAGCCCTTAAAGATTTCACATTCTTGGGCTTACGCCATTGCACCTTAGTCTCGATCTTGCTTGGATTCACTTGCACCCCATCCTTGGACATTGCATAGCCAAGATACTCATTTTTCGGTTAGGCAAAAGTGCATTTTTTGAGATTGACCCCAACTGAATTTCTTTTAAAATTGATAAAAATAACTTTTAGATGCTTTAAGTGAGTTATTAAATTATGACTATAAATAAGAATATCATCAAAGAATACAAGCACAAATTTACAAAAATGCTCACAAAATACCTCATTCATTAAGACTTGGAAGGTAGATGGTGCAGTGGTTAACCCATATTGCATTACCTTGAATTCATAATGCCTTTTATGAGTTTTGAAAGCCATTTTGTTCTCATCTCTAATGATTATTCTAATTTGATAATACCTAGATTTCAAATCCAGTTGGGTAAACACATTTGCTCCCTTTAATTCATCTAATCACTCATCAATGATTGGTATAGGAATTTTTTTGGGCACTATGATTTTTTTAGAGCCTCATAATCAACACAAAATCTCCAACTCTTAACTTTCTTTCTGACTAACAAGAATGGACTAGAATAAGGGTTGTTACTTGGTTGAATGAGGCCTGCCATCAACATATCCTTCTCCATCTTCTCAATTTCATTTGTTCGTGAATGAGGGTATCTATAAGGATGTATATTTAAAGGCTTCTCCCCTAGTTTGGTTACTATAGCATGGTACAGAGCACATTTTAGAGATAATTCCTTGAAAGGTTAACAAACCAAGGGAAATTTGTTAAGAGATTTTAAATTATTGGTGAAATGTGTATTGCTTTTTTTTTTTTGCCATGACTTCTGATATTAGCTATTATACTCAATAATGAACACTTCTACTCTCTTTTGCATAGACCTCATGAACGACTTGAAAAAAACTTGAATCTTAGTCAAGGTAGGATCTCCTCTCAAGCACACCCTATTCCCCTTCTTACCAATCTTTATGGTCAGTTGCCCCCATTTAACCTTTACCTTGCCCAAGGACTTTAACTATTCTACTCCTAAGACTACATCCACAACACTAAGTAGAAAAGGGTAGAAAGTTTGAGTAATATCAAGATCTTGCACCTTCAATTCAAGATCCTTACAATGTTGCTTACCTTTCATACTGAAGTTGTCCCCTACAGTGATGGAGTTTTCAACAATTTCCTCTATTGAAATTTTGGCTTTACTAATTAAACCCTGTACTATGAAGTTGTGGGTGGCTCCACTGTTAATCATAATCACCATTTCAGTTTCCCCAAGCATCCCACACACTTTCATTGTGTGATTACCTCCAAATCCCACTATAGGATTTAATAATAATTCCATCTTAGTTGCCCCTTCAACAACCTCAACATCTTCATTTCTCTCTATTACTTGTTTAGGGCTTTCATCCCGTTTCTTTAGCTTTAACTCGAGAATCATCATTTGCAAAATTTTGTTCTTACAAACATGATTTAACCCAAACTTATCTGCGCATTTGAATCAAAAACTGAGTTCTCTCTATTGAGCTAGTTCCACATCAAAGTCACTGATTTTGACCTCCTTGTTTGGCCATGGCTTCGCCTGTAGCACTATTTCCTACCTTTGCATTGCTCGCCTTCGTCTTAGACCATTTTGAATAGGTTGAGTTTGCATATGCATAAACTGGGGTCTTATTGGATTTGAGTACATGGGTGATATGTGTGTAATAGGTGTGGGCCAAATCATTTTTAAGCCCACTTAGAAAACATTCAGCTTAACTTGTGCATGATTCCTTAGCCCTTTCTACTACCTAATTCCTCTCATCAACCCTAATCGACATTTGTTGAGTTGCTACTTGTCATGAGACTTAGCTAAACCTTCTGCTTCTCCACTATCTGTTCCCATGTCCCTTGCATCTTTTGCATCATCTCTTTCATCATATTCATATCTCTCGTTAGGCCTCCTACATCTCTCTTTAACCCTCCAATAGATTCTTTCAGCTCCTGTACTTTCGGCTTAACATATTGTACCCTCTTCGCCATAACTTCTTACTTTGAGGGTCTAAGGATTGCACCACTCAATACCAAATGATAGAGCTATGCTATATAATAAATTCCTAAATAGAATATAAAGGCAAGAACTAACAAAATAAGGGAAATTCTAAGGTTTTAATATTAATGTAGAACAATTGAATCAATATTACAAACTGGAAGTCACTCATTGATTCTAGCCAAAACCCTATTCCCTAATATTGAAACTAGACTACAACAAGGAAATGAAAAAAAAAACAACAAATCCCTCATTGGTGTTAGAGAAACCAACACTCTCCTCACTTCTATCTGACTGTCAAAACATTTTTTCAATGATTCCAAAACAACAAAAAATTATTAAAGCAAGAAAAAAGTAACCTTAGCATCTAAACTGAATCTATAGCCACCCTACAATATATTGTGACTTAATCCTCATTTTCTAGACCCTTTGAATAATAATCCTGACTTACTGGATATTTCTTTTCTACTCCTTACTGCCCCCTTAATTTTCTCCTTTATGTCTGAATATACCCCACGGTTACATCATGTTACATGATTCTCTATGGCCTTTCGAAAGTTTGTATTATGTACGATAGTGTTAACAAATTGTTAGTCAAAAATCAGCTGCAATTTGAAGTGTAAGAGATATCATCACGTTTCTAATTAACTGCAACCAAAATTTTATATATAATCCCCCTTTCCTTTTCATTTCACTTTAATTTTACAGGCTGAGACGGATTCTAGTCATGCATTTGGATGAGGACAAGGAGAATGATGACAACTCTTTTTTAATGCAGTGTTTTTTTTTTTAATAAAAACCGCGGAAGAAAGAACGAAAAAAGAAAGAAAGAAAGAAAAAAGCAAAAAAATAAAACTGTGAAGTTTGATGGGACTGTATTCTACATCCCAATATCCGGTGTGCTTCCGTTTTTCTTTTTTCTTTTTTTTCCCTCCAAAAAAATGAATTCATGTGTGCTTCGTGTTCAAGGTTGCCTAAGGTCATTGAAGTTTCTTTACTTGATTCATAATTACCGATGCCACATCATGTGGTAGTTGGTGTTTTTATTGGGAGAAAACATTTTGGGGTATACATTGATGAGTGTTCTTTGCTGTTTCGTGAGCATTACTAATATTGTTAAGTATTACTGGTCTAGTATTGCACTTTTGTTCAACATACATTCTAATCTTTCAATAGATAAAATAAAATAGTTGTGTTTAGATGTTGAATCCTTTTGTTTGCTGATATGTTTATTAAATTTGTTTAAAACTCTACGTGCTTGTTTGTTTGTGTATATATCCCCTCAATTGAGCTCCAATTGGGGAATGTGAAACATTAGATTTTGATTTAATGATATGTCGAGATAAAGCCTTATGTTTCCTTTTTAAAAAGAAAAAAATTTCAGATTAAAAAATAAATGATTTTTAAGTAGTTCAAAAATTTATAAAAACATATTTATTTCGTAAAGATTTTATGAAAAGCAGACATTATTTTATGTTTAGCTGCAATAATAAAAAAATTATTAATTGATTATTTTTAAATTTTATGATATCTTTTAGATTTTTTATTTTATAAAAATAATTTTATGATATCTTCACATATTTTACCTTTTTAAAATATTTTTTTCATCTACTGCATCAGATTATTTTTAGAAGCTATCCAAAGTAATTTTTAAAATAATTAAAACATGCTTTTTTGGTCTTATTATTTTTAAAAGTTTAAAAAAACATAATAAAACACTCACAAAATATTTTTAACTGTGTATTTTTTGAAGTCTGGTTTTTAATGAAACAAGTTTCAAATCAAAATTCAACGTATTTTATCATGCGAGTGTTATTACATTCATTTTAAATTCCTTTTCACTAGTTATGACTTTACTGCTAATAATGTTTTTATTTCTTTCTTTCTTTTTTCATCATGGATGAATTCAACTTGGAAGGTATTGAGGGTGGTGGAAGCTCCACTTAGAAAGTGTTCAAAACCAAAATTGCCATATTTAACTTTATAAGTAATTTTTGCAAGCTTTAAAAATTGTTACATTAGACATGCATTTTGTGAGGGGTTGGTCAACCAACAAATTAGTGCGTTTGGATTAATTAACATCGGGTAAAACAAATTTGAAAAAAAATTGATTTATAAATATGATTTTAAACAGAATTGATTTAATCAAAATGCTGAACTGTGTGAGAGCTGCTCATAAGAAAGCCACATTTTGGGCTTAAATAATTGATTTTTTTTGATTCATAATTAATTTTGATCAATATATATATATATATGGATGTTTGGTTGAGTAACTAAATAATTTATTTAATTAAAATATGAGGGTTTAGATAAATTTATAGAAAACCATATTTTGAGAATTTTTCATAATAAAAGGGAACAATAAAAGCAACAAATAAAGCTGTAATTTGAGTGTTTTTCGTTCTTTCGCTCTGGTAGCCTAGTTTTGGATCCAAACTAGTCTAATCACAACTTCTGGATACTTTTTAAAAGGGTTTACCTTTAACTAAGAATTTAATCACTATTGCAACATACTCAGCACTCAAATTCAAGACCTCAGAGGGAGTCTTTGTAACTAGTTGATCAAGTGCCTGATAGTTAATTTAAGCGTTGAGATAAATTGTTAGAATACCATTTTTTTTCAGAAAATCAATTTTTCAAAAAACTATATTTTTAGCTTTATTATAATTAAATTTTCGGGCTATCCAAACAGTCACCAGAAGGAAATTGCGAGAAACTTTCTCAGAGATATATAAATTGTGAATTTCCTTGTCAATAGAAGGTTACGGATTTTATCTCACATATAATCTTTAGTTATTAATGCTTGCCCCTCTATTTTCTTAATATATATATATATATATATATATATATACTCCCTTAGGTTTTTATTATAGGATACTTTTAAGGATTAATGTGTAATTTTACCGTTAAACTATTCTCGAAGGAACAATGTTTACCCCTAAACTATTCGTTGTAGCAATATTGCCTCTAAACTAACCAAATCGGAGCAATGTTGCCCTTACCGTTAAAACGTCCATCACTGTAGCTAGTGGGACTCACTTTTCATGAGTTAAAGTGTAATTTTGCCTCTAAACTATTCTTAAATGAGCAATATTACCCTCACCATTTAAAAATTATAAAATTAAACAAAAATAAAATTATAATAATATTAAATAAAATAATATTAAAATTTATATATAAATATAAAATTATAATATTATATAAAATAAATATAAGAAAAAAAATTATAGTATATTAATAAAATATCATAAAATTAATAATATTATAAATTATAATTTAATAACTTATTAAATATAAGTGAATTTTGGTTAAATTAAATATCAGTAGATTTAAAAGTATCTGCATTTACACCTATATGAACTGAAGCCATCATTAATGACTTGATTTAGACTACAAAACTATTTTCATGATTGAACTGGATTGAACAAGAGTTAAACCGCTATTAATCTAAAAATTGAAATTGAATTGAAAATCGAAACAGTTTTCAAAAAACTGGATGGTTTTAAATATAATATTAAAAAAAGCTTAAAAAATTTTTAAAATAAAAAATTCAAAAATTAGATCATACTAAAAGCCAACTTTATTTTTTAAATAATTTATATGTATAAAATATGATTTGAAACCATTTTTTTATAAAGATGTTGATAATTATAGGTGTAAATGTAGATACTTTTGAGTCTACTCATATTTAATTTAATTAAGATTCACTTATGTTTAACAAGTTATAAAATTATAATTTATATTATTTCTTATATTTATTTTATATATACATTTAATATTATTATAATTTTATTTTTATATATACATTTAATATTATTTTATTTAATATTATATAATATAATTTTTATTTAATTTTATAATTTTTAAATGATGAGGACAACATTGTTCCTTTGAAAATAGTTTAGGGGTAAAATTATACCTTAACTCATGAAAAGTAGGCCCTACTAACTACAGTAACGAACATTTTAATGGCAGGGGCAACATTGCTCTAAATTGATTAGTTTAGAAGCAACATTGCTAGACAAATAATTTAAGGGTAACATTGCTCCTCTGAAAATAATTTAAGGATAAAATTATACCTTAACCCTATAAAATAATACCGTCAAAAGATTAATTTATGCATAAATGCAGGCATGTAACTAGAATTGCTTCCGTAAACATTGGAATGGGGTTTTGAAATTTGATCCAATAATATATTAATGTAGAGGATTTATGCACTTACTTTTACTATTCACCATTCTTTTTATTTTATCTCATTCAGTGTTTTAACTATTTAACCATAATGGACGGAGTTAGAAAAATATGGTTGGTGCACAAAACATGCATGCATAATATAACTATTAATAATTATTAAAATTTTCAATTTAAATTTTTAATAAATTTATAAATAATAATTTCATTAAAATTTAAGAAAGAGAAATGTAGAAACAATCAAAAAAATATGCAATATCTTATAAATAAAAATGAATTTAAAATTTGCAAATAAACATTTTGGAACAAATAAAATGAAAAAAAAAACTGACAATAATGTTGAAAATATAAAGGAAGCATTATTTAATGAAGAGAGAAAATTAATTAAAAATAAAAAACAAAATTGCAGATAATACAAAACATGTTGCGGAAATGGATAAACACAATTTTAAGAAATTTTTGAGTTCACCGAATAAATAATGTTGTTTCATTATTTCGTCAATCTTTTTCTTGTAATCAATATTATTCTCGCTGAAATAACTTTGAAAACCTATGTTTATACTTCATTCTATACTTTAACTACCGACGCACATGGAGGAGGAAATTCTAGTTCACTATTCGAAGAGCTTCATACACACTTAGGACTGCTTTCTATTCTCATTTTTAATTTCTAAAAATTATTTTGTCATATAATTTTTAAAATTATTTTTTAAAACAAAACGAAACAAAATCTGTTTGGCTGTATTAATTTAAAAACAATTTCAAAATTAAAAAATTAGTCGACGGTGATGATCACCAGCAATTAATAGTAATGGCTTATAATAATTATTGATCAAAGTAATTGTAGTTTTCAATATTTAAATATAATGTATTTTTAAAATAAAAATTGTTTTAAGACGTATCTATTTTTTTTAATTTTTTTAAAAAATGAGAAGAATTAGATTCAAAACACTAACTCAAACAAATTTTTTAATTTTTAAAAACAAAAAAATTGTTTTTTAAAATAGAAACAAACAAGCCCTTGATATTTAATTAAACACATAATAACCATACAACAAAATTATTCAATGTATTAAATGTAATTAGCTCATACGTTTCTAGAATCTGTATTTTTTTCCCCCTACACATAAGTATCTACATGTCATTGTTCTCAATTCAAGCATTAGTGTTCGATGGAAGGAAATATTTATTCCTTTGTTCTTCGACCTCCCAACAACGTGTGCAGAGTACAGACCTAGTGGAAGATGTGATTCCTCGCACTTTCTTGTCTCGAAGGGTTTTAGGATTCACTTAAATATTGATACTATATTTCATGACACTTTAGCGCTATGTTTACTCTATATAAAAAGAACAATTCATTGCTCATACTTTCACTTTATTTATTTCAAGAATGTTTAGGAGCAAATTTTTGTGATGTTTTTATGGAAGAATGAATTATAGGTTACAAACATCTCATCCAGTCAGACATATGCTTTCTAATAATTCAGCTGATTCAAGAAGCAGAGTGGATACTGTGTGAAGATCAAAACGATTAGGAGAGGCATTGATTATCACAATGATTAGTTCAAACCAATGATTAAAAAAACTGAAGCGGACCGGTCCAACCATCGACTAATCTAGATTTTAGCTCGGTTAGCATGTAAAAATCATTCTGGAAGTTGAGCTGGTTGGACTATTTTAGACTGATGGTTGGACCAAAAACCGGGATCCAGTTAGGAATTGGATCTAATTTTTAAAAACTAGACTGTTCAAAAAAATCTTTTTTAAAAGTCTTTTTAGCAATTGATCGATTTTTTTAATCATTTATGTTATATTGTATCATGTGGTTTGTTAAGTTATGATAAACTTAAAATATTTGGTTTTATTTTTAAATTCAGTAGAAATTTCATATTTATTTTTTATATTTAAATTATTATATATATATATAATTTTTTTAATTTAATTATTACGTCACTTAATTATTGGTTCAACCATGTGAACTATAAACATCCAACCTTTTCGGTTCAAC